ATTTTTACTTGCATAAACCACGGAGCTCTGGATATAACCATGTACATATATGAGTCTACATTCTGCACTATCCTTTCAAATATTCGTATGTCCAACTTTAGAAGAGAAGACTTCTTAAATGATTATTCCTGACCCATCCTTTCAAGTATTCATACTATGTACAATTGGAGAAGAGTTCTTGATTGACTATAAAGAACAATCTCATCACATATTTTCTGATGTTTGCTGACGTCCAATCCTATCCGCTTTCAACTTCGTAATTATTCATCTTCGTCTTTCGTCTGTTACGGGCTTATCAAAAAACCCGTTTCTTGAACTACATATTCTAAGAATACGGTGAAAAAAGGTCGGGAGTCGTTAATACCTTTTAGTACAGCAACATTAACGTAAAAACTTCCTTTCTCTCTTTCTGAGTTAACAGTGTTGATTACTAGTGGCTAGAGGATAAGTTTTGGGTAGCGTGCTTATCATTTTACTACTCCCTTTCTATGTTGATGTTCCTAACTAATTGTCGGAAAATACGACTCACTGAAAAAACTCATCACAGCGCCATCTAAGGAGTACATTTTATGGCTACAATTAATATTTACACCCATTTTTGTGTATTTTTTAATTTTTTCTCTTGAAACCATTTTTTGTCTGCTAAAAAAAAATTGCTGCGGTGACAAAGTCGGTAAATACTTTTATTTGCACGCACATTGTTTGCGTCAAGTGAGTCGTAAAGCGCGCAAAATATACGTCCGACTGCGTCAGCCGCCGGCTGCCGTGGTCTGAATCACTTATTACGGGAAAAGAAATGAAAATGAAATGCCAACCGCAACTTCTATGCGCCACTACTCCGAATTCCAGCTTTTGTCTACCGCGCTGCGTGGCCATTACAGCGCCAACACACAAGCCACTACGCAGTTATTGCGTTAAAGTGGCAACTCGCATGAAGCTCAGACGCCATTGCCACCATAGCAATGTATTGCGTGCTTTTATTAACTCGTCGTTAACGCTGGTTGTGGCGCATTTCACGCGCACGCCATGAAAATAGAGTGAGTGATGTATCGCCACGCTCAGCGCGCATGATTTTCACTGACTGCATTTTTGCGCACATAATTTTTATTACAGCGCGAAAATGAACGCAAACATTTTGAAGGGAAAATATTTACGCAGTCTCGGAAAAGCAAATAATAAAAAGAAATCACGAAATTTCTAAATATGTTTGTGGCATCAACTTGTCGCCAATGAATCATTTTCTGCGCTCGACTTTGACAGCTGTAACAAATTTTCGTTATGATCACGAAGGTTTTTGCTTCTTTGTAATATCCATCTTTTGCAAAAAAGCGACTTAGTATAAAGCTGAAGGTTTATTTAGAACTACTAGAAAGTGTACTGGGATAATCCGAAAGTACTGAAATTCTACTGGTTCTGACTATGCTCATTGATACCTATACCATGTTCGCACCAAAAATTTTAAGTGATTAGATTACATTTAATATATTCACCAATCTGGACTGTCCTCACTGACGTTGGAGATTTATATACTCATAACAACTCATTGTGACCAGGCGATCGACGCTGACATTTTTCTCGCCACAACTCTATTATATTGGCTTCGGCAGCCTCACTCCACATTACTCTCACTTTTTTGATACTATTTTCCACCATATTCACTTTTTCACTTTGTCAGTTTGTAGTGTCTATATCAGCTGTGATAATGTGATAAATTTCCCTGAAATCAAAGTCGCACAGGGAGATTTCGAGTAGATTGGCTTCAAATCTCTTCGGTGACGTGATAAAGCAGTGTAATTTTTGCATGGCCAAATCTTAGTAAAGCTATGAGATTAGTGAGATAATCTACTCAATAGCCTAAATTTCGTGCTTAAATGTTATTCAGCTATGTGTCCTTTCCTTGGATTTAATTTTTTGTATTCATGAAACTAACATTTTAGTATTAAAGTCAGCGATTTTCATATCACTACGAAAAAATTCTTACATTTAAGTTTTTTGAAATTTCTTATTTCCATTATAAATAAAATATTACAAAAGCAAATTGAAAATTCGCAAATTGGCGTTCGAGCTGAGTTAGAGCATAAACAAAATCGATAACAATATAGTACGGTGCAGACTATCAATTTATGAACTTCAAGTGCAACGTTAAAACATTATAACTTAGAATATTAATATCAAGCGCATTTTTTTAACCTTATTACCATATGTTAATACTTTATTTTTGTATAAAATGTTACATATGAGTTTTTTCTTTAATAAATCAATTTTTTTTATTACTAAGTCATCAAAACAATAAGTACCTACATTTGTATTCACAATTAATATCGCACTTACTTCGACTTTAAACTTCCGCACCGTTTCCAATTACATCTTCATCTTCACCACTGGCAAATTTTGTCATTTGCCTCACTCTCACACCTCTCTACATATTATATTATATTTACCGAGGCGTTGGTGCCCTTGTCTTCACACTTACCATATTACCCAAGCATTTGCTTACAAATGCAATAAAAGTACAGAATTAGAAGAATCTTAATTTGCTTGTTAAACAAAAAATACTTACATACGTTTCTACAATTTCACACTTGCTTGACTGCGTGCGACTATGTTACTTTGCCTATCCCGGCACTTCACATTAAAGCCCTCTCGCATTCGTACAACAAAAAATATTGCTACAAATTGTCATTGCTTAAGGTGAGATCACATTAGGTTACGTTGAGGAAGGGGCGACACGAACAAAGCAGGATTTCCTGCAAGTTGCGACTTTTTTTTCTTCGAAAATTGAAAATTTAAATTTTTTACTTTGTTGCAATGTTATGCTCACAATTGTACATACTCTTACCGATCTTAAAATTTTTTCTTCTAGCACGCTTCAAATTAACCCCAGAAAAAATGATCAGCTGTCGCTTTTGTTTACAGAATCATATGATCTAATTGCCTCTGAAAACGTTTTTTGTAAAGATCGATAAAAGATTTTTCTTGACTTCAGTAAAACTGGGGTTTCTCTGTTAATTCCCAAGCTTTTATTCCGTTCACAGTTTTATCATAATAATACAATACAAATAAGTTCTTGCCGTAACCAAGTATCCTGTGTTATCGTTTATTGTCGCATAGTGCATTCACACCTTAAACATAATGATATAAATTGCACATAAATGTAGCTGAAAGTGGCAACAACTGAGGTGTAGTCGTTTTTTCGACGCTGCCAGCGCTACTGTGGCATGCCTAACAAACCAAAGTATTTTCGTACTTCGTGCTGAATTGCCGAAAAGACAAATTGAAGGCAGGAAAATGCCCTGAACTTGAGTGAAGTGGCATGGAAAAATTGTGCACAACGCCAAGCATAAATATATGTACGTACATATCTATACATATGAACATATCTCGCGCTTGTGGAGGCCATTTTCTGATATTTATGCGCGTTGGGGTATTGAACTTGAAAAATTATTTGATTTTTTTATGACAGGGTTGCATGCTTAGTGTTGAACATTAGTTTGAGTTGTGAACGACTTGGTTGGCTTGGAGAGAGAAAAATTAATTTTTAAATAATAAAATAAATTGCTTTTAATTTTTTATTTTTGAATTTGTTTTGAAAATTTTTAAAAATGTTTGTATGTATTATCTCAATTTTTTTTTATAGCTTCGACAATTTTCTTGTAAAAAAGCCTTATTTTTCCAAAAAAAATATATATATTTCGCGCTCAGCAAGTTTTATCACCGTCATATCTTCTCTGCTATTTTTGTGCTTATGTCATTGTATTTTGAGCACCCACATCAATTTTTCTGCTTATATCCAAATATTTGTTTGTCTACATGAGCATATCCGCCTGGCTTATAAGATCTTATAATATTTGTTTATGTTTTTGAGAGCAATTCCCGTATGCTCTACATATTTATAAATATACATACCGATGTACAACAACGCACTAAATTTCTAGGCAAATTGAAATTTTGCTTATTTAGAAAATTTAAAAATAAAGCACACAGAAATGGTAGATGCCATAATATATAGAGGCAATAAAAATGTAGATTAATACAACTGTACAAATGTATGCAGCTATATTATGTACTTATATAGGGTGCCTTTAAATGGTTTAAATTATTATGAAAATGCGAAACAAATTTAATAAACATCTTATGCTAGTTTAACGTTTAGTTTAACAGAGTTTCACAAATAAACTGATTATGAAACTTAGTGCACCGTTAATTGGGCTCTGCGCATAAAATAGTGACTTAACGACTGTCAACCGGCATTTTTTTACCGCTAAATTTGCTTAATTTCTATGCTTTCTATGCCAGTTACGTTAGCTTTCGTCGGTGGCTTCGTACGGCATAGTTCTCACGAGCTGCTTTCCGCACGCAAATTAGTTGTTAATTATTTATATGCTAGTTTCTTCATGGTTCTTCACAAATGTGAATAATTACTTGTAAACAAATTGACTTGGTTGTTGTTTTAAATTTTATTTCATTCGCTAAAACACTGTGGTGTTCACAATTCTCAGCAGGTTTATATAATATTTTTTATATATTAGCGTGTACATCTAAAGAATTAACAAATCTCCAAAATACTAGTTATTGTTAGAGCTACGGTCGTTACAATGACGAGCCGTTGACCTGAAGCTGGAAAAGCAGCCGTTAGCTTCGGAAATAAAGATCAAAATGTGTGTTATTTGCATAATTGAGGTAACTAGGCTTTTGAGATTCTGAATGTTCTGCTGATATCACAATAAATAATTTCGGAGGCTTGTAGTTTACATTCAAGTGAATAGATTATAATTAGAAAGAGACGATTCCAACGCAATAGCTCTTGTAGAAAACTAATTTCCTCACTAACCTCACCTAACTTGATAAAAATTTGGTTTTCTAACGAATCTACAATATTATTGTCAGCGCTTCAATTTGAAATAATGTTTATCATCGTTAATGCGCACCAACTTTGGGTACAGATTCCAGTTCTTCGAAAGTTGAATTTATTTTAAAATGCATATTTTTCTACTTTGCAGCAAATGATAAACAAAAAAGTTTGAAAATAAAAGTTAGCTGGGTGCTAAACAGTTATGACAAAAATCGCCAAATATAACGGTACTAATTTGTAATAATAAACAGGCGTTCAAAACACAAATACTCGCACAATATAAAAATACTAAAGAAGAATACTCAGCTATTTACTAAAAAAACAGTACTGAAGAAGATTACGCGAGTGGCTGCTAGACAAAAAGAGTGCTCTCAAAATTTAACGGTACTAACATAGGATACTCAAGTTTTACCAGAAAATACGGTGATTATAACGGTACTAAGGTCGCTATATAATACGAGTGAAAGTAAATAAATAATTTAAAATAAAATTAAAAAACCAAACGTAACGGAACCAAAAAATACAATATTCATAAATCACAACCCTAAAAAATTTTGAAAAAAAGTAAAAAAAAAAATACAGGCTGATTGAAACAACAGCTGAAAATTAAGCAAATTAAAAATTAACTTGCCGCTCCTGCCGCAAATTTTAGTCAATATACCAAAAACACAAAAAAACATAACAACAACAACCAAAATGAATTGCGTCGCAATACCACCACCGGAAGAGAAGCAGCAACCGACACTGCAAATAATGCACAACGAACTGGTATTGCCATCGCCGCACGCCCAACCGGATGTCAACAACTGCAGCAACAGCAGCGGCAACACATCAAAAACGCAATCACTGCAGCGTACCACACACCTGTATTGTCGCTCGTTGGAGAAGGAACGCGGCGATCGACGCACTTCATCGCGCGGTTTAGCTTCGTGTTTGCGCGGCGAACGCGATGAGTTCGTCGGTGATTATCGTGAGTTGCGTCCGCGTGCGCAACAAATTGATTTGCTGCCGACAGTTATGATTAGTCATGGTGGTGCGGATAATGTTGCCGTCGCTGCAACGTCTGGTGTTGGCAATAACGGAGCTATGGAGTCGCATGCCGATGCGAGTGGCAGGTGTAAGTGTTTACATTGATAAGTATATTTAATTGCTGTGTAAGTGTTTTGACAAATGTCACCTAGACAGCTGTCAAGTCAACTGGCACGCTGAAATCATGCAAGGAAAGAAAGAAAGAAAGTAGTGATGAAGGATGAGGAATAAGCAAGTATAGTTTTAGGCGCCAGAAGTGAATGTTAAACTAGTGAAAACTATGTCAACTACTGTTTTTTCTTAATTAAAGTGGCAATCCTTAAAAAATAAAATATTTGGCAATTAATGTTTTTCGAGCAATTTTTTATAAAATCTTATTATATTTTTAAAGTTCAGCAATATTAATATCTTTCATACAATTTTTGCAATAATTTATTTGTATTTTTTTACATTAGTTATTTTTTTAAAATTAATTAATAAAATATTATTTTTTATTTAATAATAAAACTTAATTAATACTAGAAATATTGTGTGGCCACTCTAGTCGAAATAATAGAGAAATTTCGCTTTTTTAGTTTTTATTTTAACAATCATCTGGCTACTCTGCTCAAAAATATTTACACTATAATATGTAATAATAAAAATATTCTGTGGCCATGCTGGTCCTAATTAGTTAGAAACTGCGTTTGTCAACTAAAAAATCAGCTGGCAACTCTGGTCAAAATTAATTATTTAACCTATCCAATGTTCTTTTTAAATTAATATTTAAACTTTTTCAATAAAATCAAACATTTATAGGTCATCTGGCAACTCTGATCAAAATTTATAATTTAAACTAATTTCAATAAAATTGAACAAAAAATTAATTATCTTTTCACTAAAATGGTTGGCATCCCTGTTGCAAATAATTTGAATAATTCCCTTATAATGCTAAATTAGTTGTTTTTTAATTGATGGCAACCCTGTTACAAATAATTTGCAATAATTCCCTTATAATACTTAATTAGTTGGTTCATTATTTAAGCTAAGGAAATATTTCTCACCATATTGCTAAACATTTTAAGATAAGTTGGCAACTCTAATCCAAACATAGATGAAAAGTTTTTGTGGTAGCTCACTTTAAAAAACAAAAACAAAATGGAAATAGAATGCTCTTTCCAATATTATAAAGTTAAAATTCCAACATTTTCTTTGAAGTGATTTCAATATTTTTTTATAAATAATATGGCAACTCTATTTATAAAAGGCTTTATCCAAACACCATTTCAGCATTATCGTATTTTTCCATGTAATTTAATTAAAGCTACTTTAAAAGTCTATCAATATGGCAACTATGTATATACATTTTGTATTGAGTATTTCACGCACGGCACGTTGACCGCTCGCGTATATCTTAATGTTTTTAGTAAGCAAAAAGTACAGCGAAAACTGTTTGGAGAATGATTTCACGCATACAAAACAGTTGACAGCACGACGAGCGACTGCGTCAGCGTGATTATTCAAATTGCTTTTCCACATTTGGCTTGCAGCCGACAAAGAAAAAAAGCCATAAAATGCCAAATTAATAAGTTTGCAATGAGTTCATCGCGAATTAATAATTTTTAAGGGTTTTCATGCGGCAGCAAGAGCAAATAGATTTTTATAAATATGTATGTATGTGTTTATATGTATCTTCCTATTTTTTTAAACGACAAGCTTTTAATATGAAACCATAGATATTAATAAGTTTTTTTGTGAAATTTAAACATGCAACATATGCAAGACATTTGAATAATACAAAATAATATGAGCTATAAAAAAAATTAATCACACATACATTTTTTGTAACTTTAAAGTCTTTATAATAATTTTTTGTCTACAAATATAATATATAAAAAGCCATATGTAAACTAAAGAAATACTATTAGAAAAATATAAAAAATATCACTAAAAAAAATTCTAAAAAAATATAATTTATTATAAAATAATTTATTAAAAAAAATATAAATTAACGGAAACTATAAGTAAAAATTTATCTATTTCCAAATGTTATCATAAAAAAATAATAAATTCGACTTAACAAATAACTGTCAGGAAAGCTTTATAATAAAGTAATATAGAATAAATTTCAAAGCATACATAAAGTTTTTTTAATAAAAAATAAATAAATTAAATTTTGAATTCAATATATTTCTCCAACCATTTTTTTAACATTTATTAAATATTTAAACAAATAACTATTTTATGAACAAATTTTTGACAAAATTTCAAAATAGTTATAATTTTCCTCTTCTATTTGAAATTATACAAGTGAAACTAATATAAGCGTGTTAATAAAAATAGAAAAAAATAGCAATAATAAAAATTTTCTAAAATAAATAAAATTTATTATATTTATATTTTAATGTTTTATATTTTTAATGTTTGAAAAACATAAATCAAATAACATAAACTCTAAATAAAAATATTAAATATTTCCAAATTTTATAATAAATAAAAACTTAATAAAAAATTACACATTTCTGACCAGAAAGGATCCTAAAAAAATAAAGAAAGAATTAGAGTTTTGAATTAAACAAATAAATAAATTTTTTCGAGCCCAAATTATTTTTTTCGATCAGTTTATTTTTAATATTTATTGAGTACTAAAAAAATAAATATTTATTAAGTCGAAGCATAAATATTTTATAAATTAAAAAAAAAAAAGTTTTTTTTTACGTTAATTAATTAGGGTGGGTCAAAAAATCGAATATTTTGAATTTTTTTTAAATGATAATAAGAAAAAAATAGAAAACTAAAGTTGGAGGACCTTCCCGTTGCAATTAAGAGCTCACACTTGGAGACATTTTCTCAGAGGTGTCGGAGAATCTATTTTTCGGAATGCCAAGCGAAAAAAATAAATATTTGAAATTTTTGGTCCACCCTTATATACACTCTATATGTATATAAATATATTGTAGCAGAAGAAACTAATTAATTTTGCCTTCACACCTCTTAATCCCAATGAGCAATTTGGCACAAAACCCAAAACATTTTTCAGCTACTTAATACAAGTGCTACTTATTTACATCTCTTTATGTCGATATGTGGGAGTTTTTGAATTTCAGTTAGTATTTTTGTAAAATTTGTAAATATTTACAATTTTGAAATTAGTCAACATTCTTACACTGGCTTATAATCAGCGTCAAATATTTCACGAACAAATGTACAAAATTCGTGCAATTATCTTCCGCATGAACTAAATTCTAATAGCAAATATTTACATATACTTATGCACATACTTGTATTTCCCACATATATTTATTTGTGCAATGAATACCTACACCCCTCGGTCTGCCAAAAAATTTTGATGACCCAATTTCGCCGCATTTGCCAGCTGTACTTCGTTGTAGGCGGAAAAAAATATTTTATTTGGTTTATATATACATATTGTAAAGTGGATGATGACCACACTTCTTGTTTCACCATACTTCTATAAGATTTTACTACTTATTTAAATCGATTCAGGCAACTCCTTCGTTTTCCGTATTTGGTTATATTGTTATATTATAAGGATTGCAAATTGTCCCAAGAAGCATTATCCGAAACTTTATCACATTTACTGTAAAAACTACCTATTGTTTGCTCTCATCTTCTTGGCGTTGTAAGCAGCGCTCTTGAAGTCTTCTTACTCCTCCTCATCGATCCTTTTCTTTTCTTCCTATTCTACTTTATTCTGCTATCTACCACACTTGCTTTTTTCTTCAAAATTGTCTTTCAATCAGTATCTATTTCCCCACTCAGCAGCTCGCTAATTCTTCAATGACACCAAACAATTTGAGTTAGTTGTAACTTAAATTTAATTGAAACGAAAAGCGTAAATCACTTAAATTGCCGAACACTAATTACGATGTCGACATTTCCTCATTTATACGTCAGCAACTGTGTTAACAATTGCTAATAAACAACAACAAAAGAGTATAATAAACAATTACCAATGAGCTGTTAAACAATTATGTGTTCACGAACTTTCCCAAATTGTGGGATGAGGTAATACAATTTTTTTGTTTAGGTTGTTCATCAGTTCATAGTAAATAAAAAAAAGTGGAAAGAGTTGCCAACGCAAAGTACTTTAGCGTAAATTAATTTTTTTCGGCAACTCAAAAGCCTCTACATAACTCTGCGATACGTAAAATGTAGTCTCATCAGCTTAATCTCTCTAAGTCACAGCACAAACTCCTTTTAGAGATCTGGTAGCACTGCTGCTTTTAACATTCCCGCTTAAATCTTTAAGACTTGGCCCTTTAAAGAAGTATAGTAAAGTAGTAAGCACTAGAATTTAACTATCATCCTTTGAAAGGATCTTAATAAGGTTTACGATTTCAGTTCCGGAACTAAATGAAAAAATTGTGGATATACCGTTGGTCTGGCCAAATTTCTTGTCCTTCTGGTCTCACCAGCAATGACACCAGCGGTCATGGGGATCCGAAACTTTTTGAAGCTCTAGGCGTAGTATATTTTGGTTGATGCTCGGAAGATCTCTCGTTTACCTATAGTTTTAACTTTTTTAAGTTATCTGGTCTTATATTTTTTCCGGCAGACACATGTTTTAGCATGTGTTCGAACTTCTATCAAATCTGGCTTTTTAAATATAGTTCAATCGGTTACCCGAAGATGTGTAAAATTTTCCTTTAAGTTCGCTATTCATCTTGATTTAATTCTTACGTAATCTAAACGATGATGTCGGTTCTTAAGTCCACCTTTCCTACCAGTAATTCGAAAATGAGTTTTTGTTCATACTCCCCAGTGGTAAATAGTACGTTTAGTTCAATTTCCGCCTAATTTGGGGTTAAATTTAACCGATGGAAGTAGAAACGAAACAACAATTAATAAATTGTGCTTACAGACATGAAAACTCCTTCCAAGAATAAATTACTTAATGGTATCGGTGCCTGTTAGAGGGTTGTTCTCTTATGGAAGGTGTCTCATGGAATGTATTAGTCTTCTCTGTCCTCAAAAGATAAGGAATTTCTAGAAACAATTTTTAATCTCCTGCGAAACGGTTTTATTTCTTTTCTGATGTCAGGGAAACGTTTTCTGGTTTCATCTGCTCTCCAATGACTCAAGGATCTCGTAGAGTTGCTTTTTATGTAACTCAAAATCGACCTTAAACATTTAGAAACGAAAATCCTTCGAAATCTGAGACAAGTAGTCTCCTGAAAAAGAGTATCCAGTCCCGTCTAGCAAGGGGTATTTCTAGAGTTAAAAATCGGGCTTAAAGATTTTTCCAGAAAATATTTCGAAAACTTAGTTGTACTAGCCGCTGTAACGGCTTAAAATTTTTGGAAAATCTAATAATGCTCTTGAGCTTTCGGTTTTACAGTAGCTTTGACAAAGTGCAAATGCTTAGAGTTTTGAAGGTTATTCGGTTGAAACCGAAGTTAAACGTTCGTCGTTTTTTTTTTGGTTTCACTACCTTGCTGCTTCAGCGTTTCAACCGATGTTTATAGCTTTTCGAGGAAATTTTCCAGACATGCCACCATACAATAACAAAACCAACACCTGCAGTCAACCGTTAAATTATCGTGTCTGCTTAGTCATGCTATTTCATTACTTTGTGTTTTCGAATTTTTTTCTCACTCGGCGCTGTTTTTTTAACAAAACCATTTATTTTTAAGTTTTATTATCACCGTTGTTGTTTGTTGTTGCTAAGTTTTTCTTTATACCACAAGGCATGGCGAGTGCGTCTTTTAATTATTCTGCCATATGCTCGCGATTTTCTTTTACATCAGTATTGCGAATGTGTTGTTTGGATTAAGGCCAACGCAGACTTCAAGTTTTGCAGAACGCGCAACATGTGTGTGGTTCATATTCATATATAATATCAGATTATATATACATATGTTTATAGATATCTATACGCACAGTGGGCATGGTGCAATATAAAAATGGTCAAAATATGTAAAGATAGAATGGAGAAAAACGTTAAGTGGTCTAAGTCCGACTACAGTTGTAAGAAACCTTTAGAAAAAGTGTCGTCATTGGCTGGATTACTAACGTGGATGACTAACGTAAGAACCAGTATTTGTTTCCTGAAGTTCTCATAAAGCCCGGAGTTTGGATCAACCGATTTTAAAGCAGATTTTGCTAGCCGATTTTAAGCAGAATCCCTTCATTAACATAATACATATATCTCCCTTTATGAACCACTGTAACCTAATATATGAAAGTAAAAAAAAATAAGACAAACCGTGGGCAGCTTAGGAATACATTCAAGAGAGGATGGCCACTTAAACTTAATTTTTCGGCTACAATTAGCTCTTTAGCACCAGATCCTAGGTTATGAACTGAAACTCCAACAAGACCTGCAATAATATACTAGGATAACTGCCTCTGCGTTACTTGATATCCGAGTAAGAACGAAAATCGAAACTTTTTCCGATATTCTTTGGCACTTCTGCGAAAAACGCCACAGATTGTCTCACACCAAAGTCTTATATGTATACCAATATTTATACAGCCGGTAACACTGTGCACTGTCGTTTTATTTTGCCTCATTTGCTCGCCGCTTTCATATGCGCTTATATATTACCGTTATAAGTTGAAGATTTTATGAGCTTAATTTTTTTTCTTTCCCGGCCAACGGCTGGCACTCATCTGCCAATCAGCGACATTTGAAATTTTTTGTGTTGCTAGTAAACAATTAAATGTTGGCGGCGGCCCACTGACCATTGTAAGCGCAATTGCAAGCGCTAACCTTTTACTGGGGCTTCATGCATGCCTGTATGGTTTTCATTGAACGCATTTGTGACCCGACTCTTAAGGGGGTTTTTGTGTTGCATGCGCCTGTTTGCTCTGTTTTAATGGCATAAATAAATTTAATTGAAAATGTGTATGTACGATTCTTTGGGAACCCGCATAAATGGTTGAACGGCGAAGCGTCTTAGTGTGTCCAACACATGATCGATTTTCAAAATATTTATTGAGTGCTGCTATTTAGAGTATTTCACCACAGTCTGGCCACATATGAAACAGCATGTAGTGTAGATTAGGTTAAGAGGTCGATCTTAACAGAGATGTCACTTGGACAGCTTAGAACGCCGGTCCACTGTGGAATAGCCGTTAAGACTTGAGAGAACAAAACAAGCCTTGCGAACCAACCTACGGGCTTGGTTAGTTAGGTTCCCCGTACCTTTCTACATATAGTTCTTTATTACAGTGCACGGCTAAAGCAGAGACTCACGATATCAAAGCTTTTTCTCTTTTAAGAAAGCTTCGTATAGAACTCATGAGTCGTTCAGTGACGTCTTAAAACTTGGGGGCACGGCAAAGCTTTGACTAAAGTTACAAATTATAACTTCACCTTATGATTTTCTAGGGAACGTGTCAGCCGTTATTGTAGCAGTACAAATTAGTTGATTGGTCTCGGTTGCAGTGAAGCCGCCAAGAGACTTCCAAATTTCATATTTCTGATTCAGTTTCTATAGAAAACCATAAGCTCAAGCATATTGTATGAAAATTAGTGTATACTTGTATTTTGGTATTGACGAAACTATAGTCGCCGAAGTCAATAAACAGACCGTTGATACAATAGTATAATATTCCTTTGTAATTAAATATATAATGAAAACAATTTAGTTATTATAAGATATGAATGTCAAAAATTTAATAATTTTCTTTATTCTCTTTTCAGGTGAGTACAAATCGAAAACCCTGCCACGCATCCATTTCGATACTTCCATTAATGATACGTCATTAAATGAAGGTAAATTATTAGTGTAAGATTTATAATGAAGAGAAACTCATAAGACTAGTGTGACATGAAGCAGAAGTAGGCCATTGTGACCTACATATATTGGATCTCTAATGCATAGTATCTAATCGATGTTTTGGAAATTGTTACCAATCTATTCAGCTATAAAAGACTTAAGATGTTGCCATCTAAGTAATTTAAGTATTAAGGGTAATAAATGTGTTCTGCTTTTCAAATATTCATCATACTTCAAGGTTTGGTCGCCTAGATTACACCCTTGAACTACCTTTTATATATTTCCGTCATATATAGACACAAAATAAATTGGAGAGTTTTTAGATAAGCTCTGATACTTACTGATTAGCTGTCATTTTATGCCAGCAAATGACAGCTACAAACAATAACAGCTAAGAAACGATCTTTAAACTGTGATTTTCATAGATATTTAATTTTATATATTTACAAAATTAACTGAACATAATCTTCAATATTCTACACTTTTGGTATGATTAGCGTCATAAGATTTAAAAAGCTGAAACAGTTGGAAAATTTATTAGCAAAGCCTTCAAAATAAATCTTAATATCGGCCATACGTCTTTAGCATTGCTAAATTGTTTTCCACAGCCTGATTTCTATTGAGGTCTTTGAATGGTAGAAACTCGCTGTGCAATGAATTAAGGAAAACTATGTATGGGACTATTTGGCTATTATAAGTTCTGTACCTGCCGTCGTTTGAGCTCACATGACAACATCTTGACACAGAGCTTTCGTATACTCAAAAATTCATGAATAATAAGTCCAATACTTTCTTAAGGCTTAATTTTTTGAACATTCAGAATAGTTTGGTTAGATGTAATTACAAGATTTATTCTAATGGCGCCATCTCTTAGAAAAGATACGAACTTTTCAACCTACCTCGTATTTGCAGCTTCTTGGGGAGACAACGACGACCGGTTACCATATACCATTTTTAACAGGGTCTCTAATGTTTCCTTCTGGGTGTTACAAGGTCTGTTTCAAACTTTATAAACCCTGTCTATGGTATAAAGGTGGCGAAACATTCTCAAAAGCAACGAGGCCAATATACATTTATTTGTTCATTATTTCTTAGTATGGTGGGGGGTTGCTTTCAATAACCAGTTTTTGGACCGATACTTCATGTACAAAAATGGAATTATGAATCAAATCGGGTAGATAAACATATTTTAGACAGTAACGCTACATAAGTATGCCGAAGTCAGTACACCATTCCGATTGAAAATTGCTTTTTACTTTTCTAACTTAGTTGACATGGGTCTGAGGGTTATTTCTGCACTTCTTCTTCGCTCTCTCTCTATCTCCAAATCTTTCTCTCCCCGCCTCTCCCTCTGTGTATCTATCTCTCTTTTGCTCTCTGTCTATTCATAACTTTCTATATATTTTTTCTCTTCTGTCTGTCTCTCTCTTTCTGTCTCTTTTTCAATCATAATACATATGCTATAATTAGCTTTGTGAACACTCATAATGCCACATTCTAAACGTCACTTATTTACAGTTAAATGCTAAATTTGCGCTTTTCCAAACACAATGGCTGATGTTACATTATTTTCGGGTAGCCGTATGACACCACTCTTTTTCGAATGCGTCTTAAGTTGTTCATATATTTTGACATAAAATTTAGTAGCTACAACAAAGCGGTAGAGCGGCATATGTTCTTGTTGTTGAAACTTAAAACTCGTGTGACTTTTTCCGGCGCGCTCTACTTCCTCGGCACTAAGCGGTGTCTAATTAGATAGAGTTGAAAAAAAACATAAAAATATGTTCTGCAAATTTTTTTTAGCTAAAAATTAACAGTAAATTTTGAGCGTTTTTTCTTTCGTTATATTTTTTTATTTTTTACTTTGCTTTTTTACTTGTATTCTCTTTTGTCGGACTACTTTTGACACTCAACTCCTTCTGACACTGACAGTTTCATGTTATATGGTAGCAGGTTTCTTAATATCAGTACCGGAATAAGAATGAAAATGAAGTCTAAACGCTCCTGAAATACATACTTCTAATGATTGTTAGCCTTATTTAAGAGAACCTTTGATTCATTATTTTTAAAATCTTGCTTATAACTTTGAATATAACCTTTTTGCCGGTATACAAAGTCTTTTCTGTCGAATCTATTTTTTTATTTTAAAAAAGTTTGAGATACGGTAGGTATTAACCTCAGTTTCTAAGGAAGGTTAAAGCTTTTTATACTATTTCCATGTCAATCTACCCAAACCAAAGTTTGCTATAAGCATTTAATCAAGCTGACGAACGCCAAAAGTATACAAAATTATAACAGAGCGCATAATAAACTTAGATGATAGCCGATTCAACTGAAAGATACGACGTTTGCTATTGTAATCAGAACTATTGTAGTGGTCATCAGTCCACGAACTCCGGGAAATTGCTTGCAGCTAGCAGAAGCTTTCGGCAGAGACATTTGGCAACGGGAAGAAAGAAAATTTCGTAAACGGGTTGGAAGGTATTGAGAGACTGAGGCTACTTCTCTGGACCAAAATTAGTTTCATATGGACAATCAGCTTCTAAGCGACTGTGGACTCAGATGACGGCGAAGACGACTCCGTTTTTAAGAATACATATACAAGTATATTTCTATTCTCTTTAAATATTTACTTCTATGCCAGACAATCTTCGTCTGTCTGAATAACCTCTTTGAGTTTCTGTGGCTGAATTATTTATATATATATTACATAGTAAATACATACATACATATATACCTTCATACATATGAAGAAACATACTTAAATTCATTTGTGCTTGTAAACCTTTATCGCCACTTCATGTGAATTTTTATGACAATGAAATCGTAAACTACCGTTTTTTTTTTGTTATTTTATTTTTTCTTTTGCAATGTTGTTGATAATTTTTTATACTGTTGTTGTTATTTTTTTTATTGTTGCTATTCTTTTTCCAGCTGAATTTTCGCAACTTTGCATATTTCTACCTTGTTTTAGAGGCAGTCTGTGTTGTTGCTTTCGCACTTTAGCAGAAACAACAAAAAATATTAATAGTTGTTGTAGTCTGAAAGTTCTCAGATACTTCATAAACCAACACTTCGCTTCAATCACCTTCAATTACGGCGAATTATTTTTGCCTTACGGTCATTTATGTCGACAATATACTTGCACTTTGTAGGCTATATATGGTACTATGTACATATTGTAGGTTAGTCCTTTCATAAGTACTTATATATTCAGATGTGAAAATGTTTCCAAGAGGAGTTTACAATAGGAGAATGAAGCACCTGGAAAGAATAAACCAACCTAGTCAGACAAAATCTTGTTTCTAAAAATATTATTTTAACCAAATTGTTGCTAAAGCAATTTTTGGAAATTTAAAACTCATAGAAAAGAATATATAAAACTATTTTTCTAATTTAAGTTTGAAATTTTTTAGTTTTCTTAAAAAAAATAAAATAATATTAAACAAAATAATTTTTTTTATATAATTTTAGCTTTTACAATATTTTAAATAAGAATTTAAAATTATTATTAAGATTTTTAGGTAAGTTTCGAAATTTCTAAATAAACCACGATTTTAAATGGGGAAAACTGCGACGTTACAGTATGTATGTATAGAAATTTATTGGACTATTTTTTTTTAATTTACTTTAAATAAAAACAAAAAATCGTAAATAAAACTAATATTTATTTTTAAAAACACAAAAATTAGAAGATTAAAATGTAATTATTTACAAAAATAAAAAAGAAACATTAACAGTAATAAAAACAATAATAATAAAAAAATTGAAAGTAAAGCAGTGTTATTTGGGAAATTTTATAGGTACCTAAACATTATGAAAATAAAATGAGTAAATTTAAATAATCAAGCAGAAATAAAAAAAATTAAATTATATAAAATTGAAACATTAAAATACAGTAATACTTTTCTTATAACCAAAATATTTTTTTTTACTTTTTACTGTTTTTTATAAAATATTTTTAATTAATTTTTTTTTTTAATTTTTTAAAAATAAATAAATTAAAGCAAATAAAAAAATGTTTCATATAAAATTTTTTTTATAAAAATATTTTTTACTAAAAATTGAGTAATAACTTTTTAACTTTTAAACAAATAAAATCGTTTTAGGAGTTATATGTCATTAAAAAAAAGTTAATTAATAAATTAATATTGACGAAAAATTAAATGAAGTAGAATCAAAAATAATAAAATATAATATTTAGTTTAACTGGATTTTCATTTATATTACTTAAATTAATTTTAAAAAAAAATTGTTATGAAAAAATCACATAAACCGAACAAGTGAAAAATTAAAAAATTTAAAATAAACTTATTAAAATTAATTTAGTTACTTGGAGACAAATTAAATTAATTAATTAATAAAAAATATAAATTTATAAAATTACTTAAATACCATAAATTAATCGATAAAAATAAAGAAAATCGGTTTATTTTTTGCAAAAGTGAAAAATTAAAAAATACTATAATATTATAAAATATAATTAATTAATGGCAAATTCAAGTAATTAATTAATAAAAATATATCTTTGAAATACTTAGTGTTAAAAATTTAAACATAAATAAGAATGCAATTAGTTAATTAAAAACAGGGAAATAATTAAATTCTGACGGAAAAATGTGCTAAATTATAGAAAAAAAAATTAAAGACAACAACTAAATTTGATATTCATTAAATTTTCATAAAAACGCAAACAATTTGGAAGTTAAAAAATAATGATCTCATGAAAATTGCTTAAACTTTATTTAAAACCAAATTTAATTATTTAATTAAAAACAAAATATAAATTAAAATATTGTATCTAATAAAAAAATTTATTTAAATGATTTAGATGAATAGATGAATATATATATACTACATATATATACTTATATATAAAATATAAGCAATTAAAAAAAAAACCTAATGTTTAAAAAATTAATTGAAAACAAAAATATAAAAGTTTTGGAAATAAAATATAATATAATAATATAAATATAAACATACGAGTATAAATAAGAAATTTTATTTATT